AAATACCTAATGTCCATAAATATATGTCCGTATTTTACAAGCCTGTTGACAGAAAATATTTACTGTATTAAACGGGAAAGCTAAAAAATGTTGTATCATTGTAAACTGCGAGTCTTACGATAGCCTATACTGAGATTTTATTATCAACCACCATATTTTTGACAAGCACGATGACAGATATATGACAACATTGTTGTTGGTACTTATAAACATACCTTAGTTAAAACAAAAGTCTTATCTCTAAACCTACTGGGCGTAAATACTCTGAAGAAGTACCAAAGAACAATGATTTATTTTTAGCTGGAGCAGTTTAAATGTTACAAACTTTGTTATTTTTACGACCGCCAGAGGCGTAGCTACCCTTCCCGGCGCCCAGGGACAAACTTTAAGTTGGCGCCCCCCCCCCCCCCCCATATAATTTTTTTATATATATAATGCAAAACTGCATCTAAAATGAGCTTTTAATTTATTTTTTTTATAACCCATTTTGGCGCCCCCTAGGGTCGGCGCCCGGGGACATATGTACCCCCCTCGCTACGCCTCTGGCGATCGCACATTTGGTAAAGTGTCATAACATTTGATGTGTATACGAGTAAATTAAATATAAATAAATAGTGTTTGCAAATAATCGTTTAACTCCTTTCTAATTCGGAAAATATTGGTTTCGCAATTATGTCTCTTTTTCCTGTAATGGTAAAACCGTTAAACTTCATTATGTGCTTTGACCACCCTCTACCTGAGCTATTACTCCCCCCCCCCTCCCACCGGTTACGTACACTCTTATCTTCCCGTCTCACAGGCTTTTCTCTAGTTGGCTAAACTGTCCACGTGACACACCGCCAATTTAATGATTAAAAGGGGATGCAACACAAAAAAGGCTCTCTCTTTTTGAATATCTCTTACTGGTTTCGCACGCTGAGTTAAGGGCCGTTGGCCCTACTCGCACGTTCTTAATTTATTTTGTATTTGTTACTTATTTCATTTTACAATACATGTATTGTTTGTAACACATAAATATATGTATAATTTATAAGTAAAAGGATAATAAATTAGTTTGCACTCTTGCTGTTAACTAAGCGTTTTTAAGTAACTTATAGTTTTATTTTACTTCAGGCCGTAAACTGCGGGCATTGAGTTGACCCGTAGTCATCGGACCTGATGTATATTTTTTTATTCACCGGCCGTAAACCATTGCCGAAGTCAATAGGCCATAGGACCAGGTTGTTATTACTTTAAGATTGTAAACTGCGCGCATTGAATTTTAGCATAGTCATCACATCTTTATCTTACTACTATTAAGTTTACTTATTGCTGTTACTGCATTAGCTGCTGAAACTTCATTATTACTTTGCCCTGTACATGACGTACCTTAAGTGACAGTCGAATACACATATAAAATATATTTGCTATATTCCTGATAGAGAAGTGGCTCAGACCCTCCTACCAGTTGATTTCACAGTTAACTGATTATTATTATTATTATTATTATTATTATTATTATTATTATTATTATTATTATTATTATTATTATTATTACTATTATTATTATTTTTATTATTATTATTATTATTATTATTATTATTATTATTATTATTATTATTATTATTATTATTATTATTATTATTATTATTATTATTATTATTATTATTATTATTATTATTATGACGGTACAGTTATTCTGCCTCTCTCTTTCTTTCTGTTCTTATTAATATGGTTAAAGAAAAGTCGTTTTTAGCTAGTGTCGAATGGTAGGCTTGGATCCTGCCTGGCAAAAAGCGACCCTTGTCTTGCTAGTAGTATATTATTAAGTAGGCCTACCCGTGTCTACCTATAGCATTGGAATGATACTTATTGTCAACGGTACGATGGGTAAAATGCCGTTAAAAAAAACCTAATAACCCATAATGGTGCAATGTCCAAATGGATTATAACTAATAACAATACATGTTCACAGATACAATACAGATGTTGCACATAGCAGTTAACCCAATAGTGTTGTATTGGTCCCTACATAGTCCGCTTAAGTAAGGTTGTCGGCTTTCTGTTTCCCAGGACACTACGTCTCCACAGGGTGGAGATGTCTGTACCAGCTGCCAGACAGAATAGATATCTAGAATAGATATATAGATTAGGCTTAATATTTGGGGTTTTATTCAAGTAAGCACTTTATTTTTAGTATCTCGTATATACGAAGTATAGAGAAAGTCTTGTAATCGTGCAAAAAAAACTAGATTTTTACTAATCTCGACGTTTTACACCTCAGTGATACGGAAAAACATAATAGGGGAAAAACATAAACATAGGGACAAGATTGCATGGTTGCACTCATCGTGGAAAGCTGTAAAATAGTATGTAGGTAGAGAATAATTTTTTAATGCAGACAGACTGTTAATCACAAATTTATTTAAAGACGTTAATTAATTTTTTGATTTATTCATACGCAGAATAACCCATTTTTTTTTAAAATGTTAAAACCTTGACTAAACTTTGTGGGAATAGTGACGTCACAGGTTTTTGTTTACTCTTTAGTACAATAAAATGGCGGCGTCTATTGAAGAAAATTGTGTTCCCATTCAAAAGTTAAACGCGTTCTAAATCTAATTTTCTGTCGGTCATAACTTTAACAATACGTCCGTTTGCTGTATTTATTACGTTCCAACACTTATATCAATTTTAAACTGTCTTTTTTCATTTAGTTTTACGATAAATTTCTCTAGATCTACAATCTGACCAAGAAAATGTTAAAACATTGACTAAACTTTGTGGGAATAGTGACGTCCCTTGATGTGTTTACTTTTTTAGTACAATAAAAATGGCGGACTCCATCATAGACTTTGTGGCCCATTCAAAAGTTTAACGCGTTACAAAGCTAATTTTCTGCCGGCTATAACTTAAACAATACGTCCGTTTGCTGTATTTATTACGTTCCAACACTTATATCAATTTTAAACTGTCTTTTTTCATTAGTTTTACAATAAATTTCTCTAGATCTAGATCTAAAGATCAGCTGTTGAAGGAAAGTTATGAATCTAGCCTAGATTCTAGACTAGAATCTAGATCTAGCCTAGATCTAGGTCACTAGACTCAATGTACATTCTAGATCTAGACTTAATGTAAATTCTACATCTAGAATCTATTTCAGGCCTTAATTATTTTATATAAATCTTTGTTTAGCTTCAATGATCATCTAATTCGAGAATAAATGGGATTTTTTTAAATCTAGGTTCTATATCTAGATATAGTAGGATTACTAACTAACTTGGAGGCGTGGTCGGCTGCTAACAACAATATGGCGTCCGGACCGGACGAATGACTTCGGACCATTTTTAGGCCATGTTTACCACGAGCAAGATGGCGGGTGTTCACATTATTTAAACATGGTATAGGTGGCCAGGGCTAGATATGCCAGAAAAGCATTTTAAAATTTGCTTTGGAGAGTGAAGGCTAAATTTTAAAGTCAGTGTCATAAAAATTAATAGAACTTTTTTTTTTTACGTTTTCAATTATTTTTTCTTAAGCCCTATATGTGAATGATAAGGTTGACTATCAGGAACTCGCGGGGCACAGGGCAGGTGAAGTAGGGTTCATCTGTTTCTTTGTCCTAAGCATATGAAGGGATAGTGTGGTCAGAGACATGCTCGGCTGGAATCGTTTTTTAAACGATAAAAACATGTTGTCTGAGACTTGGCGGGACACTGGGCAGGTGAAGTAGAGTTGAGTAGGTCACCTGTGACGTCAGTATATGAAGGGATAGTCCGAAATCGGTGTTTTCGGTGTTTTTAAATGATAAAAAACATCTTTTTGAATGTGGGGTCTGTTTTTTGTGACGATAAGTGACACTGCAATAGCGTAGCGAGGAGGGGGGGGGGCGGGTGGGGGACATATGTCCCCGGGCGCCGACCTTAGGGGGCGCCAAAATGGGTTGGAAAAATAAATTAAAAGGTTGAGGGGGGTGCAAATCGAAAGTTTGAGTGGGAGGGGGGGGGTGCATATCAAAAGTTTGAGGGGGGGGGGGTTGCAAATGGAAATCTTGCGGGGGGGGGGGGGGGGTTCAAATCGAAAAGTTTGTCCCCGGGCGCCGAGAAGGGTCGCTATGCATCTGAGTGACAGACGTGATGTTTTTTGATGGATGACCCCCGAAACCCACAGTTATCCAAGGGATGACGGGTAGTCTAGTTATATATTAAGGTTCATAATTAAAAGAGAAAAATATTAAGATTATTTATATTGTGTATTATTATTTTCTAATTAGTCTATGATTTCTCAAAATCACTATTTTTTTGCTTTTGTTTTTCGGTGTTATGAAAACAGATGGTGAAATTAGACTTTTTGAGAATAATGGAAAGGCGCAGACGCCGGGGAAAACGTGTTTTTAATATTCATCTCACTCTCAATAATTTAAGTTAATTTTTTTATTACTAACACATTGATTATTATATGTTAAGTTTCATAAGTAAAATAGAAAAATGTTAAGATGTTAATGTGGTTGTGTTGTGGTTGTGTTGTGGTTGTGTTGTGGTTGTGTTGTGATTGTGTTGTGGTTGTGTTGTGGTTGTGTTGTGATTGTGTTGTGGTTGTGTTGTGTTTTGGTTGTGTTGTGGTTGTGTTGTGGTTGTGTTGTGGTTGTGTTTTGGTTGTGTTGTGGTTGTGTTGTGGTTGTGTTGTGGTTGCGTTGTGGTTGTGTTGTGGTTGTGTTGTGGTTGTGTTGTGGTTGTGTTGTGGTTGCGTTGTGGTTGTGTTGTGGTTGTGGTTGTGTTGTGGTTGTGTTGTGGTTGTGTTGTGGTTGTGTTGTGGTTGTGTTGTGGTTGTGTTTGTGTTTGTGTTGGGTTTTTTTTTTCTGTTCCAAAGATGGTACATTTAAAAAAAATACCGTTTATATATATATATATATATATATATATATATATATATATATATATATATATATATATGTATGTATGTATGTATATAACATCCACCCGCGTCCAGCAGTCGTATACGTTTGAGCGTTCCAGCCTCACCCATGATCATTATGACACCTTTGTTCATTTTAAATATAAATATTATTCTACTGTAACTGTCGCTATTCGGTACTTTGGCTATTGTATACGTTTTAACGCTCAAAGTTTCCCCAGAAGCTACCTGAGCACATAAGGTCTGTTGATTGGTCGTCCAGCGCCGTACTTTAGAGAACTAGGTTTCGCACCGGCGCCCGTGCGGTAGTGTAACAGGTGACTCGCGCGAGCGCTTCTAGACATTTCTAGGTCGCCGACGAGTGTTCGACCTCTGTAATACAGAAGATGATTAGCAATTACTTAAGGATTTCGTCAGCACGCCCTGGGGCTTCTGGGCGCAGTATGGATAAACAAGCGCTGCAACAACCGAAATCCACGTGATATATCGCCCGCATTTTTTTTTAACTTTGACAATTTAGTTTACAAAACACATGTCACGTGTCTAAAAATACGCAACTGATAACGGGTAGAAACATTTTTATTAAATGTTTCATCAATCTGTTGTTTATGAGTAGATAGCAGCAACGGTCGACAATATTTTAGCAATTTGTTTGAAGAAAGCGTTTGTTTTTACTTTCTCGTACATACGAAGTATAGAGAAAGTCTTGTAATCGTGCAAAAAAAAAAAAATCGAGATTTTTACAAATCTCGACGTTTTACACCTTACTAATACGGATAAACATAATTTTGCAATCTTGTCTGTGTGTGTGTGTGTGTGTGTGTGTGTCTGTGTGTCTGTCTGTCTGTCTGTCTGTGTGTAAACACGAACACTTGAGAACCGTTACAGCTAGGTTGATACAATTTCATTTATAAGTATTTTATCAAAATCGTAGATCCCTATCAACTTTTGAGCGATTTCCGATAACCGGAAGTGGTACTTTTTCTACTTTGAATTTTTCCAAAGCCTATTACTTTAGTATTATTTCAGATATATAAATGAAATTTCACATGTAAGTAAAAGATCTAATTATCTACTTTCTATCAAATTGAGTAATTTCCATTGACAGGAAGTACTAATTTACGTTATTTCCGATTTCTCAAAAAACTAATGTAAATTTATAAAGTACTAATAATATTGCGCACTAATATGACCATCTTTATTTGGCGTTCACTTGATGTGCAATTCTTTTTCCACGAGATTTTATTCTATTTTAAAAAGTTTAAGTATTTAAAATGGATTAAAAATCATGTCTATATCCCGAGTTCCCATCCCCTTTGTTTTATATAAGAATATTCGAGAAAGTTTAGGGGAGATCACTCCCGATTTATTTTATTTATTACTTGAGTATTAGTTATTATTACTTCTAGTATTGCATCTGTGCATATTTTTGTGCCCCTAAAAACTTATGGGAAACCACATATGTTACCGTTATCTGTTTTAGTGCACAAGTTGTTTTTTATTTAGTTGAGATGTATAGAAATGAGTAGGCCTAACCACGAAATATTTAACTTTTGCAGATGTGGTCACGACAATTAGGTTCGTCTATATATAGTGTTTGAAGAGCAGAAATAATACACTATTTTTTGAAGTCTTTTATACATTTTCTTATGAAAATTCATTTTAATATACCAAATAGTAGTTAAACAAAGATAATGGATGACTTACTGGCCGCAACTTTACATGGTCATCATCAGAGGGTAGAACGGCTGCTCAGAAATGAAATTGATGTACACGAACTGGTTGAAGCAGGATATAATTCTTTAATGTGCGCATGTAAAAATGGCCATGATGAAATTGCCAAGCTGTTGATTCAAAACGGAGTCGACATAAAAAATATAAATAATGATCAGTTTGATGTTGTTATGCTTGCATGCCAAAATGGACATTTTGATGTTTTAGAATTACTCATAGAAAATGAAGCTAATTATAATCGTGTGACTACATTTGGATGGAATGTTTTAATGATTGCAGCTTTAAATGGTTATTTTAACATTGTAGAGCTTCTGATGACAAAAGGCGTAAGTTTACATCAAACAGACACAAATGGAATGGATGCGTTGATGATTGCGTCTGAAAGTGGACACGATAAAATAGTAGAATTACTCTTGGATGGTGGTGCGGATGTTAAAAGATTGCAATCAAACAATAGGAATGCGTTAATGATTGCTTGTGGGAAAGGACATGAAACAATTGTAGAGTTACTTTTAAAAAAGGGTGCTGATTTAAATCAAGTTGAAACACATGGATTAGATTCATTAATGATTGCTTGTGACTTTGGGTATGAAAAAATTGTCTATTTACTGATACAATATGGAGCTGATGTAAACAGGTTAAACTACAACAAATGGTCATCTTTAATGTTTGCATGCAATAAGGGTCACTACAGGGTTGTCAAGTTACTAACATTATGTGACCTCGATTTGTACAGTGTGACAAAGAATGTACCTAACAGTTTGCTAACAACAGATGGGGGTAGACATGTTGAGAAGAAAGAACAGCATCCCATCTGTAGTGTAGGTTGCATGGCTTTATTGATCGCCTGTAAAAATGGATATGTCGATATTGCAGAGTTACTGCTTCCATTTGACATAGATATAAACTGTATTACAAACGATGGTTGGAGCCCTTTATTTGCGGCATGTGTATACGGCAGGGATAAGATTCTCGAGCTATTATTAGCATATGGAGTTAGTTTGGATCAATTTAAAAAGAAAGGAAATAATTCAGTATTGATTGCTTGTAGTAAACGTCATTATAAAATCATTGAATTATTAACCAAATATGGTGTAGATTTAGCCTGCACTGACAACGAAGGCAAAAATGCTTTATTGTATGCAGCTAGAGATGGATGCATTAAAATTGTAGACTACCTTATAAAAGATGGAGTTGATGTAAATCACAGCAATGAACCCGGATATTGCCCATTATTATTAGCAATAGAAAAAGGATTTACCGAAATAGTTGTGCTATTAATAGAAAATGGCGCATGCTTAACATGTGTTGATAGTGAAGGTAACAATGCGTTAATTCGTGCAGCCGAATTTGGACATTTACAAATTGTGGTGATACTAATAAAATATGGAATACACATAAATCATACAAATAATAATGGAGATAATGCTTTACTGATAGCATGCAAAACATTACATGTCGAAGCCATTGAATTACTTATTAAATACAGCGCTTCCTTATCTTTTGTTAACATTGAAGGAAATAATGCTTTAATGAACGCAAGTAAAAGTGAACATATTCGTATTGTTGAATTGCTAATACAAAGTGGATGCGACTTAAATCATTTAAATAATAAAGGTGATAGCGCTATACTAATAGCCTTCAAAAAAGGACATATTAACATCTTAGATTTGTTACTTAAAAATAATGTAGATGTAAAATCGAGAGGGTTTGGCGCAGTATTGGCTGCCTATAAAACAGGTGATTATGAAATAATGGAACTGCGAAATGAATATGTTCCTAATTTGGGCAATACTGATATTGATGAAAGTAATATTTTAATGCGCGCCGCTAGAAATGATCACTTTGAAATTATTGACAATCTTATAAAAGCTGGAGTCGATGTGAATCATCCTAATACACTCGGACATTGCCCATTAACTATAGCAATAGAACATGGGTTTACACAAATAGTCGAGTTATTACTAGAAAATGGCGCATACTATTATATAAACAAGGAAATAACTGCACAGAAATTTGAGGCAAAAACGGCTGCTTGTAAAAAAAGTAATTTCGAAATGATAGAACTACTAAAAAAATATATATTTAATTTTAGCCATGCAGACATTAACGGCGATACTCCTTTAATATACGCATCTCGAAAAGGGCATTTAAACATTGTAGTATTTCTGTTACAAATTGGGGTTGATTTAAACCACTGCAATGACAAAGGATATAGCGCTTTAATGAATGCAACAGAATTCGGAAATGTACAAATTGGAGAATTATTAATACACAGAGGGTGTGATATAAATTGTATTAACTGTTTTGGAGACAACGCACTAATGATTGCATGTAGTAAAGGATATGACGTAATTGCAGAGATATTATTTAAAAAGGAACATTGGCAAGAATTACTTCATGTGGACGAAAATTCCAGACTTGTAAATGTTTCATCTGGGTCTCAGCGAAAACTATTGATTAAAATATATGATGTTTTTTTTACCGCTGTTGAAAATCAGAAAGTTTCTTCGTTTGAAAATATAGCGAAGGTTTTTTTTGAGACTAGAAATTCAAATGTGTCCTTTGAAGTCGTACATCTAGCTCGTCAACTTCGTACACTATGTAAGTATTTATATGCAGGTAAGAAAGTAGAAATATTAGATTGTAAACAAAAGCTACATACCCGTAAATCTATTCAGTGTGAAAATCTACATGTAAGCCCCTACTTTTTGGAGGACAGTTAACCATAAACTACACCCACGTTTTACCTCAACCAACAATAACACCCCACTCTCAAACCCAGGCTATGAAAGGTCAGCCGGGACACCTAGAAAAATGGTTGAGTTGTAGTCAGACAGAGATGGATCAGGGCTGTATTAGACCTAAATGCTTTGATATTTTTTATATCCATTTAATTGGCTATTCCTATTTTACTATTTTGTGATTATTGTTTATTGCACTTTATAAGCTATATGACTTCGTAGTCATTGCTCCGCAGGCGTTGATTAAAAAGATGCACTATTGAAATTTAGGCCGATGGTAATTTTTTTCCCGTGCTATTTAGACACAGACAGTTTACCACTGCGTTGTTGTTTCTGATTTCGTGCGGTATAAGGTGGTGTGCGTTTATGTATACAACTTTGTGTTATGGGTTTTGATCTACTCCGTGTATTGTTTTTATTAAGTGTGTGGTGTGGCGTATTGTGAATTATAACCCGAGTTCTTCTTTTGTCTTACCATAAACTTGTATATATATATATATATTGGCTTATATATATATATATATATATATATATATATATATATATATATATAATAGAAATTATTTTGGAATAGAATCTAGAGTAGATAGAGTCTAAATCTCTCTCTCTCTCTCTCTCTCTCTATATATATATATATATATATATATATATATATAT